CACGCATTTGAAACATGCTATAAATTTGCAGCAGTGTACATTTTTATTCTTGAAAATTTCATATGCATGGTTTTGACAAGAATAAAGAGAACAAACTCTAGATGCATAAATGCTTTGAAATATCTGGATTGTTTTTTTTTCATGGTTTAATGCTTTCATTTCCTTAACCTATCAATATGGTACCTTCTATTATTAATAATTTCATACTTTGGAGTGCTTATGCATCTAATAAGCTTAGTACAAAAGGTGGTAAAAGTGAATGCAGATTTGTTCAGCAACTTAAGTGGCAGTTGTCTGCAGCAGATGAGTTTTTACTCTCAAGACATGAAAATCATGAGGTTCGAACATCAATAGGTAAACCCCTCCTCTGCCTTATCCAACATATGTTTGCAGTATAGTTGCTAGGCAAATTAAATGCTTGCAGGAAATAATTTAAAGTTTCTATATACTGTTAAGGAACAAAAACTCATTGAGTGAACCGATTCAAGTTTTCTTGGATTAGTTGGTGTCTAAGGCAAGGTTTAAGGGTTGCGTAACGCGCTCTGCAAGGAACGAGGTATTTAATTGATCTTTGATCAACCTCTATTACTATCCTTACCTGGCTAACTACCCGAGTAAAACTTTAATCTTTTCACTTTAGGAGTTTTTGGTTTGGAATAAGAGGACCGGAATTATGAGAATAATTCATATGCATTTATTTAATTACGCTTCTTGCATCATATATTGCCTAATGATAAATGATCAATATATGAGCGAACCAAATCAAAGAGGTGCATCTTTTAAAATTCTATTTTATATGGTGAATTATATTATTCAAATGTAAAGTTCATCATTTTTATTGCATTTTGATGAATATTGCAATAAATGCTCATATATCTTTTTAGATAACTTGCATTTTTTACATGATTAATTACAAGGTTTTATGCAAGAATGCACTTGTAAAATTTAAAGCACGTATGTACAAATATTATTATTATTATTATTTGTATAAGAGGTGGTATTAGAAAATGGCAACATAAATTTGGAAGGTCTCCTTTGTAGACAACCAATTTAAATTTGGAAGGTCTCATTTGTAGGCAACCGATTTAAATTTGGACGGTCTCCTTTGTAGGCAACCAATTTGTAACCTCTTATAATAGAAGAATTTTAAAAATTTTATGCATTTGAATTATGAAGTATGAAATATATTTTAAGATACGAAAATATATTTTAAGATACGAAATCCTATTATGCTCTGCATGTATCTATTATTAATTTCATTCATGTATGTGCATATGCATAACTGCAGAATTTTTAGTTCCACATTAGTTTGAAATGTTCAGATATTAAGGTCAATCTCTTCAGACATAGACTATGATCTTTTATGATCATAGATCATGACCTAATGTCAATTTCAAACAATATGATGGACTAATTACAAAATAAGAACTTGATAAATAAATACAACGCCTGCTAGGCAAAGTTATGATTCTAGACTTTGTAAAGTCTGTGAAAAGAATCTTGATGACCCTTTGACTAAGGGATTATCCAGGAGTGTGGTTCTGGATTCATCGAGGGAGATGGGGTTAAGCCCATAGATGAGGTCACTGACAGCGGCAACCCAACCCTTATTTGGAGACGTAGTCCCAATGTCGGTTCAATGTGGTAGAAACAAGCTGGACAAGTGACTCTCGTGTGGAGCATCGACCTAGATATATTTATATATCATTATGTAGCATTTGCTACTACCCCTTCTCTATGATGACGATGCTCTTATGATACAGCTGGCTAGGCTGAGTTTTACTCTTAATAAGTCCAACGCGTGTATTGTGGGGGGTATTAAATAAACAGCTGTAGTACCCTTTGAGGACTTACCTACGTGAGAGGAACCGTGATGGCCGCGGTTAGGGGGGGCTGGGCTAACCCCTAGAAACTCTCATGAGTCGGTTTATTGTGAGCATGGCCTTTAACGCTCAACCCGCTTTGCTCAATAGATGAAGCGTATTGTGTGTGTTTTCATCAATACCTGATTAAAGGGGCCTAATTCAAGGCCTAGTCCATTATGTCCCTCAGGTGGCGATGAACTCACTAAGGAAAGGTTCAAAGCCGAAAGCTACCTTTACCGAATTCACGATACGTAAGGTTGCCCAACCTATATTTGATTTATGATTTCTTGATTTATTTATTGATTTCTGAGTCTTCAGTCAATATTGCCTTTTGGGGGGGACTGTTAGATATTTTGTTAAGAAAAGACAATTTTGCCTTCATGAATAGTAATAAAGTTTTATAATTAAAACATGTTTTAATTAGCAATTAAAAATATGTGTAACGGCCATATAATTATGGGGAACGTTACAAAATTTATGACGAACGTTACAGAATTAATTACGGGTTTTGTAACGTCTTTTCCAACCCTATATATATATCCATATGTTAAGCTCAAAATGATAAGGAAAATATACAACAAGTTTCTTTTGTTTTTCTTCTCTCCCCTACATATTATTTTCATCTACATTTTAGTTTTATTTTATGGGCAACTTCCTTCATCTGAGCTGAAGCTCTGCACTCTCGTCCGAGTGTAGAGGCCGGCCGTTTCCGGGGGTTTTTACCGCTAGGGAGGAGGGAACCATCTGCGCCAGGGCGATAGGCGGGTTCTCAATCTTCTAGGGCAGTGAATACACGACTGCTCCCGTTCAGGCCAGTTTTAATTGTTTAATTTTTCGGATTTATCTACATGCTATAATCTTAATTATTTGATAAATTCCCAACAAACTCCATGTTGCTTCTTGGGGGGTGTTTGGTTAAATGAAGGTGATTCGAATGTGTGAAAGTTACTTATTTTTGCAAGTGTGAAAGTGGATCCATGTCAACATGAAAGTAAAATGCAATGTTTGTTTGTAAAAATGAATTAATCTTGGAACTAGGAAAATAAAGATGATGGGGCAATTATTTATTTATTTGTTATTTAAATTCATATTACACTCTAAACTCTAATAATTATTCTGGTAACAACTAAAGAACGAATTGAAAAACTCAGGTATATATATCATCAATTACTTGTGCTAATTTTTATAGATTCTTTGTCTTCTGTATTTTTTTACTTATGTACTTTATATTTTTTTTAATAACGTAATGGCTTATTAAATGTTTAGTCATGTTACAACTGTACAACAATCACGCTAAAATAGTCATGTTCATAAATTGTCTAATTCGTACTATATACATGACATAACAATGTACACATCTATTAAATGCTATAAAGGAAATAATATAATTAGCAGGAGAGAAAATTTTGGGGGGGAGGTGGTTATTTCCATCGAATAACATGGGAAAATAAGATAAGATAAATAATAAATATACTAATTAATTAGGAGTGGTCCCCATTTTTTTCTCACTTTCACTTGCTTCAGCACTTTTTTAGGGGAACTTAAACATGCATTAGAGCTGATGTGGACTCATTTTAACATTTCACTTTCAAAATTACTTTCAAATAAAACAAATACCAAAAGTCTTAAAATCATTTCACTTTCACACTTTTACAATTCACTTTCATAAAAACAAACACCCCCCAACTACATCTAAATTTTAAAAGTCATGTTCGTTAGATGTTGTTGCAGCACCAAAACTTTATTACAACAACAAAATAAGCTAGAAATAAGAGCGTTGAAATAACACTCAAGATGTTTGGTACATTGAAATGGTATTTGCAGCAAATGTTACCTGCAGAAAATATTACAATAACATTTATTGTTGGAAATTAACCTCAAAACTATTGTTTGGATAATTACAATTAGGGTAGATGCATTTCCAAATACAAATTTAATGTTTGGTAACTCACAAAATTTATTAGTTTTACATATTTTGTTGTAGACAATATATTTCTATTGTAAATCACATGTTTGTTTCTATTCAAATATAAAAAGATCTTTATTTTTTAGTTAACGCCCATTAACTTGATGATGTGGTGATAGTTTTAAGGTTTTTTAGGGGTTGTTTGGTTTGCTGTAAAATTTAATCGCAGCAAATATTGCAGCAACAAATGTTACATGCAGCATTTGTTATAGGAAATCAACAAATTCACCATTTTGCATGCTTGCAATTATATTTGAGGAAATGTATTTTCAATGCAAAATCAATACTTGGTTGAAAATAGTTAGTGCAAAAGCTACATAATTTTGCCATAGGAGTAAAACTTTGATGGAGGTAGTTTTCTATTTGGATTTAAAAGAGTTTTTCAATATTTTCTCCCACCAAACTGGTCATAGCATTTGCTGCAAGTTTTTTAAACAAAATACAAGCTCATTTATCTTCCTAATTACAAAATTATAAACCAAACAATCTATTTACAAATTTGGTTGCTCTATTTACACTTGCAACTTTTTCCATCCAACCAAACAACCCCCTAGTTAATGCTAGGACTTGCAACATTTGTTGCAATCAAATTTGGCCGCAACAAATGCTACAATTTTTTTTAACAAAATGTAAACCTAAATACCATCTACAAAAACTTTGATGCAAATCAAACATTAAAAATAGAAATTTGGTTGCAACACTTACAGAGGTAAAATTATTTATTGTCAACCAAACAACCCTAAAAGAGTATATTACAACACCATTTGTTGCATTCAATTTGGTCATAATTAGTGCTGCATGTGTTTTTATTAATTAAAAAATAAAAAGTAATATCACATTATCAATAGTTAATTTCAAATCATAAATGAGATTATTATCAAATGGAGATAAACAAATAGCTGCCATGAAAGAAAAATATGTATCCTGCAAAAAAAATGCAAATGTAACAGATTTGGTAATTAATCAAGTATTATATTTGAATATGATAATTCATTTTCTATAATACAAAATTACAAATACATATTCCAAAAAATGGGTTTGAGGTTAACGTTTTGCAACAAATATAGGTTGCATCAACAAGTTTATAAATGCAACATTTATAGTATTTACAATAGCAACATACGAAATAATCACTGAATAACATCTACATTATGATTGCGTGCGAGACAAGCAGTGCCCAACTACCCTCTGCTGCAGCCAGCAGCCTCTTGCTAAGCAACCTTCTCAACAACCCCAGCTATCCGAGTATTTTTCCATCTTTTTTTTGGTTATTTCAATTTTTTAATTTTTTTTAAATTAGTCCCCCAAATCATGGAGATTCCTATTAGGTCGCTCAAATCATCTAATCTCTTACAGTTAGGTCCCTCTGTTTGACTTAACACGTATTGTTTAATTAGGATTGGGTTAGGTATTATCTCACATGCTAATTACTAAAGTGCCCTTAGGTGTATTTCCCCCATAAAATCCTCATTTTCCTTACTAAGATTATGAAGAAAAATGCTAAAAGGGAAAACTTTCAATTATTTGGGGGAGAGATCAGTAGGGGAAATAAGGAGGAAGTAGCGAATTTTTATTTCCCTTTTCGATCACAAGAACATTGAATAGAGTCATAGAGGGGAACAAGGGAAATGAGGATTTTGTGGGGGAAATACACACCTAAGTGCGCTTTAGTAATTAGCATGTGGGATAAACACCTAACCCAACCCCAATTAAGCAAGAACATGTTAAATCGAAGTGGAACCTAATTGTAAGAGATTGAATGATTTGAGGGACCTAATAGGAATTTCAATAATCTGGGGGACTAATTTGAAAATATGTAAGATTTGTGGGACTGATATTTAAACAACCCTTTTCCGACATCAGTTTGCCTCCATAAAGTGCAACTTGATCTCCTACGATTTAAAAATGGCCAACAGCTTCGTTGTTCCCAAGCAGTTGGTGTAGTTTGTTTCCTTAAAAATCTCTCTCACATCCTAAATTTGAAGGATAAGGTAGTTGACAGTGGTTCCACACCCAAAAAAGTAATTTCACTTAGGCTGCGTTTGGCAAGGGGCTAAATGAGGGGTTAAGGTAGTTTAATCCCTCATTAGCCTGCCAAACAGGAAAAAAAAGCAAAGGGTTAACAAACCCTCACGTGACCCCAAAAACACATTTAACCCGTCAAAAGAAGGGTTAACAATTCCTCGTAAGAAGGCGGAACAACGCTTGTTCCGCCTCCTCACGCGAGGGTAGGCAGAGGAATTTAGAAAAAAATTTCATCTGGATCATCGTTCTCTTAGTCACTCTCCTCCACTTTCTCCTCTCTTTACTCAGCACTCACTTTTCAAGCTCTCTAATGGCGGAATCGATCGTCGATTTCGGTGGGGGCATCATGAAAAGATTGCTCCTTTCTGCTTCCATCTCTTGATTTTGGGCTAATTTTAGTGCGTGCTGTCGGTTTGGGGAGTGGTCGGTTGTTGAGCTTCAGAATTAGGGCTTTAGTGGCGAGGACTTGGGGCTTCTTCTTCGAGAGCAGAGGAGGCATGAATTAATTGATCGAGAGCGAGAGCGAGAGCTTGACATGTATAGGAGTGGTTCCTGTCCTTCGACCGTCGAAGGATCCCTAAACGCAATTTTCACACAGGTTAGTGTTTATTGTATTTGTTTTTTATTTTTATTGTTTTGAAAATTTGTTGATACACCCAGCTTGCTCATGTGGTATGGTTGACAGTGAACCGGTTGACCTTGTTTTCTTATCTTGCTCTTATTTCACCTTGTTTGTTACTGCATATATACGAACTTAAACCTTTTGGATTCATCATACCTCTGTCTCTCAGATAGTGTGATCTCTATCACTTGGATCTCTAGCACATTCTCAAGTCAATGTATTGGAACACTATCTTTACCAGTGTTTCATGACTTGTTTCTGGAGTTCCCTATGGCTTGTATATTTGTCTTTGTAGCATCAGCTTGTATGAGAATGTTGTTATTGAAGATCTGATTGTTTATCATTTGTTTGTTACAATTTGTGTTTCATGAAATCTTTTATCCTCTCCTACTTTGAATTGTATTGGTTCTTCTCATAATACAATTATTATGAAGATATTTAGCATTTGTTTGTTTTACTTTGTGCATCTCTAGTTTTATAAATCTCCATATTTTGACCTGTATTTATCTTTCTAAACTAATTTTGGGATTATATTATTCGTGGAGATAAAGAGCTACCCCTTTATAGGTGATGTTGGTGATTGTCTTAGATGCTTACTGCTGCTAGAATGGCTCAATGAGTGCTGCAAATCGGTCTCATAGAAAAAGTGTTCTGTTGTTACAGAAGGGTCATTGATGCTCATGCTCCTTTAGCAGTTCTTCTCTTCTCAGGAAATCATGGCAAGACATATCACCAGTTAGACTGTGAGAGAACGTCATGCAATAATATGCAAATTGAGAATTGGTATCCAGGTTCCTACTGGAAGGACTTTGGTTCATTTGATCTCCCATATCACCTTACAAAAACCTGCAAATTGAGAATTCACTTCATTTGATCTCCCATATCACCTTACAAAAACCTGCAAATTGTGATTCATGGGATGTGCCTGTGAGAGTTCATGCGGATCTGTGTGCATTGACATATTCTTGCCAATGAAATGATGTGGTTTCCAGGAAATGACACTTGTTGTAGCGTATCTTATCGATGTCAAAACCCTGATATTCGTGACTTTGCATCATGAGTTGAAATATAGTTAGGTTTTTTGGTTCGAATTTGTGCTTGTTGTCGAGCTGTTGGGGGTGTTTTTCCAATCACTATGCTGATTCTAGCTTGTTTAGCTCTCTATTGTTGGGTTTTTTGGTTCGAATTTGTGCTTGTTGTCGAGCTGTTGGGGCTGTTTTTCCAGACACTATGCTGATTCGAGCTTGTTTAGCTATCTATTGTTAGATTTTTTGTTCGAATTTGTGCTCGTTGTCGAGCTGTTGGGGCTATTTTTCCAGTTACTATGCTTATTCGAGCTTGTTGTTCGAATTTGTGCTCGTTGTCGAGCTGTTGGGGCTATTTTTCCAGTTACTATGCTTATTCGAGCTTGTTTAGCTCTCTATTGTTAGGTTTTTTGCTGTTGGGGCTATTTTTCCAGTTACTATGCTTATTCGAGCTTGTTTAGCTCTCTATTGTTAGGTTTTTTTTGTTCGAATTTGTGCTCGTTGTCGAATTTGTGCTCATTGTCGGTGAGATTGCTACAACTGTTTGTCTCACATTTGTTTGATGTTGTGATAATTTGAATTGTAACTAAAATTTTCGATGTTTTGGTTATTTTACAGTAAGAACGAAGGGGAGAATGAGGGGATATCCGTAATAGGAAATCAAACAGTGTGAGAGCCCAGGGTTGTCGTGCAAACAACTAGTGATATCGATATTCTTGATGATGGATACCGTTGGAGAAAATGTAGGCAAAAAGTGGTGAAGGGAAATCCAAATCCAAGGTGAGCAAACAACACAAATTGACCTGCATTGAATTCAAATCTTAGAGACATATTCAATGTGCATATGACACTTATATATCATATAGTTCATATTTATTCACCAATATTTTTTTTTTTTTGAATTTTAGGAGCTATTACAAATGTACAACAATTGCCTTTTGCCCACATTATCCCATTGGTTGTCAACATTTGCCTTTTGCCCACATTATCCCATTGGCTTCCCAGGTTTATGTATGGTAGAATTGAGGTCAGTCACCACCTACAGCAGCGATGCCCTTTTCCTCAACCAAATGACTCAAGTTTCGGCTATGTTAAGTTCAATTTTGTAGTGTTTGCTTTGGAAATTTTCTCGCTTTGTTTTTTTTACTTTCAGGCATGATCTCTGCTGAAATTGGCTACGGGTTTGGTTTTCTATATTGCTGGGAATGGAGTGTTTTGTTCATTGTTTTAGTGATGAAATTTGCTATGGGATTGGCTTGTTATATTGCTGGGAATGGAGAATTTTGCACATTGTAATACTGTTGGAATTTGCTGGGCATTTGGATTGTTATATTGCTGGAAATCTGCAGGGTATAGCTTGCTTATGTATGGTTGAGGATAAACCATGTTTTGTGGACTACATTTTTATCTTATATTTTGCTCTGGAGCTACATGTCTAATAGCTCACAAGGCTTTTGTAATAGTTTTTGCTTCTTAGAACTTTGTAAGGGTGAGTGTTGTCTCACTTTAGAACTGATCACTCATTGAGAGGCGATACCATGTAGTTTCTTTTCCTTTAATGGTATTCTACTCTTCAAAAAAATCACAATAGCCACACAAATCAAACTCCATTTACATTGGAGATGCTTCAAGCTAACATTGGCTATGGATACTCTAACTATGAGAATTCCTGAATTCTTACATGAATTATCAACATCAGCAACAATAGAGTATGTATCAGAAAGCGATGATGAACCTAGAGAAGACTTGTTCATTGAGTCACTTTTGTGTGGAATCATGAGCTAGTTCAAATGCTTTTTTCGACGCTGTACAAGTTGTTCTTTGACAATAATATATTGTAGTAAAATGGTAGTTTTGTATATTCCTGATAGGGTTTTGTGTGTAAATCTTGAGAAGTTGGTCTTAGAGAACCTTAGTCACATTTGTTTATTACTATTTTAATTTTATTTTGGAGGTCCTTTCAGATTGAAAAATAATGGATCTTTGAATACTGTTGTATTATAAATCTTCAATAAGGGCGAAAGTGGTATTTTTTAAAAAAATCATGAGATTAGTCTCCTTAACCCTTCTTTATTTGCCAAACACAAAAGATTTAACCCATTGTCTTAACTATCGTATCCAAACGAGTTTAGAATTTTTTTAACCCTTCATGATGGATTAACTAAGTTAACCCTTCTCTTTAATCCCTCCACCTTAACCCTTTGCCAAACAGGGCCTTAGATAAAAAAGTTATTTTAGGAAGTATAAATAAGAAGATAAATAGGAAGTAGTTAGAATTCTCCAACTAATGAAAAACTCTCGGTGTCTTTATTTTTTTGACGTGGTTTTCTTCTCCAATCCCCTAATTCATTGCGCGGATGGCCAAACCTAATGGAATTTAATTTTTGATATGGTCATCGATCCTATGAAATACTTCATACGAGCGTCTTCTTTCTCTAGAGTATTGAGCCCGAGATCATGAGTGTTGCCACCGGGCCAATCTGACTGGAAATAAATTGTTTTTGCATGGAGGAACTGTATGTATGAGCCCGGCATTAATTGGCTTTCTCTTAGGCCTTAGGAACCTTCATTCAATTAATTTTCAACTAAACAACTGAGATTTTGAATGAACATAATTGCTTTGTTTAAGTTCATCAACATGGTTGATGGTCGATTTTCTTCGGATCCAATTTCCTTGTATCACATTCAATCACATGTTAGATTTCTTGTTGATATCTTTATTGAGGAATTTTCTTAGCGTAATTCACCTATGATTCTATTTAAACGGATTTATACGCGTTTGATGGAATTCTGTGGATGAGAAATTGGTGGGAACGAAGATTTTTTTGTTTTTCCAAATTTACCTTTTTTAAAAAATAAATTAATAAACCATTTTAGGAGCACCGAAGCAAAGCCCTTAAAAATGATCGTATAACTACTTTTGTGTGTAAAATGCGCTTATTTTCAAATGCTTTTGTTGTTTAAAAGAATTAAGGAGATAATCACTTACTTCTGAACTTTTGTGCTAGTTATTCGTAATTAGAGGACGTGGTTTGTCAGTGATTACCATTTCATTTTCCCGGATTAATTAACACGTTTTAAGAAATTTTTTCCCCCTCCTTTGGCAAATTTGAATTTTGAGTTCCACCTTCAAAGTTTAGGGCTTTTATTAGATTTAAAATTAAGAAAATGGGCAACAAAAAATGTTAAAAGTTACGATAGACACACTAACATGTCATGAAATTGTTTCATAAACGGTATAATGTATTAACTTACGCTTTTATTTCGAGATAAACTTAAAATTATAAGACCTATAGGTGTGGATAACATATTTCTTTCGTTATTTATTTATTAATCAACTATTAGTTGCAATTAAAAGCTTGTGTATAAAATGATGGACTGAAAGAGAGATGAACGTAATTTATCCGTAAATTACCTAAAGCAGTCAGTTCGCTAAACAAATCTATCACATTATTTATAGTAATCATATTTCAAACCGATATTATCTTAAATAAACACTGCACATTTAAAATTAGTCTGTACCTTTCAGCGACGTTCAGCTTCAGCTTTCCTCGAGGCTTAACCTGGGGACGGCAATTTGCAGTGACGACGTATCAACCAAGAACAATTTTTCAAAACCGACTGAATTTTTTTTTTTTTTCAAAACCGACTGTTTTTTTTTTTATGATAAATAAAAAAAAAACAGTCGGTTTTGAAAAAAAAAAAAAAATCAGTCCGTTTTGAAAAATTGTTCTATCAACCAACAAATCTCCCAAAGAAACAGCAAAATCACTATTTTAAAAAACAAAACTCCATTCCAAGACACAACATCAACTGACCACACTCTGACCTGATGACGTGGCTACACTTCCTTCTCACACGCCACCACTGCCCGAAGCTTCTGCCCGTGCTGCCCGTAACTAACCCTGCCCTACAAAATGCCACGAGCACATCACTAACCCCCAAAAACTCCACAGTCAACAAAAAAGAAGGAAAGAAAAAAAAACAAGCGATGATACGTAACGCCGTCA